GAGCTGAGATCCGGCCACTGCACTCCAGCCCGGGCGACACAGCGAGACTCCATCTCAAAATAAATAAATAAATAAATAAACAAATGTGCGAAACACCATCACCATGATGCTCTGGCCTGGGCAGCTGTGCCCAGGGCCCAGCCAGCTTGGCTATCAGCCCACCCCTCTCCTCTAGCTCTAGGATAAAACACACAAAGCCCTTAAGCCCCTGGCCAGAGAGCAGATTCTTTCCCCCCTCCCCAAGCCCCACTCTATTCCATGGAAGAGTAGGGACTTAGAGAGCAAAAACCAGGGGAAAAGTAGGTCACAGCAGGAGGATGGTAATCTCCCTGATGGCTGGCCAGAACAGCCAGGCCCCTGCTCCTGGTCATCCAAGCCCAGCTCTGGAAGACTTCTGGGATATACAGCCCCAGCACCATCCTTCCTAGCAGTATGCCCAGGGTAAAGGTGCCACCCTAAAATGACACACCTCCACAGTGGGGTCATTCTCAGTCCAAGCTCTTGCTGACTGTAGCACTACCCATGCTGGACTTAAGAGCTCTATCTTTCATTCCACACCCTCCCACAAGTGCACCCTTTATATCCAGCCCTAGGATGGATGCTAGAGACACAACGAGGATTCTGACAAAAAGGACTTCCTGCCCTTGGGGAATCCACAGTGGGGAATTCTGACCTGTACCTAGACAATAACAAGCTAGTGCTATCAGTACTGAGGCAGAAGGGAATCCAGGAGCTGTGTGGACCTAGAGGAGCCTTCTGATTCAGCTTGTAGTCAGGGTTAGGGAATAGTTCCTAGAGGAGGTGATACTACAAGAGTGAGCCACTGCACCCGGCTGAGTTTTTCAATTTAGAAAGTAAAGAATAAGGCCGAACATGGTGGCTCATGCCTGCAATCCCAGCACTTTGGGAGGCCAAGGGGGTCAGATCACCTGAGGTCAGGAGTTCGAGACCAGCCTGGCCAACATGGTGAAACCCATCTCTACTAAAAATACAAAATTAGTTGGGCATGGTGGCGGGCACCTGTAATCCCAGCTACTAGGGAGGCTGAGGCAGGAGAATTCCTTGAACCCAGGAGGTGGAGGTTGCAGTGAGCCAAGATTGCGCCACT